ATCAGTCAAGCTTTAATTAACAGGGATTTAGCTGGATTTATTTTAATCTGTTTCTTAATGTGTTAATCTTTTAATTACAAGGTATTATTTTATTAAATTACTGTTATACCGTAGCTGGAGACTTTTTCTCTCTACAGCTACTGTACTGATTAAATCTGGCTCTGTAAAGATTTTGTTTTCTTCCTTTTGTCACTTTCACCTTTGCTAGCATATTGACCCAAATCTGGGATGTTCATCAAAACATGGGCTATTGCCCACAATTTGATGCTATTGATGAACTACTAACAGGAAGAGAACATTTGTTTCTCTATGCCCGTCTGCGTGGTGTCCCAGAAGCTGAAATTCAGAGGGTAAGGATAATTATTCTTTATTTTCTGTGTGTATGTTTTGGGCTACGTCTAAAGATACCTATACAAAAAAAGATGGCTTCTGCTAGAACAATAGATCGTATTAATTCATATTAAATTTTTAAAGAAAAAATATGCATTAGTCTGTATCTAAATTGTACTGTCTTCTTGGCTCTGCACACTGTGCTGCTATTGTTTCTATTTCTATGTAGGAATCTTGCACGTGGTGAAATCAAACTACAAAATAGTTTCTTCAGTTTACAGAGTGCCTTTACATTATCGAGTGTGCACACGTGAAACTTAAAGTAGTGAAGTTGTTCTTGCTTAAGCTTGCAATGGGGATAGCTCAAGATATAGTACCGTGTATTCATGGTAACTGTTACCCACATGATGTTCGTATTGCATCAGATTGGGGTGAGGACAGTAAATGCTATGGCAATACATTTCAGCTAGAGTAAAAATCTTATATATGTGTATGAGTATATATATATATATATATGTATGTATGGTTAAAAATAACACTGAAGACAAACGAGTGACTCCTGGGTATATCCATAGTAGGAAACAAAACGTGAGCACCAGGAGGTTGTAAAACAGTTAAAAGTTTTAATAAAACATTAAAAACCTTTAAAAGAATATTAAAAAGGACCTAGCTTTCGTTGGATCCTACCAACATCGTCAGGGTAAAGAATAACTCAATGGGAGAAACCATTTATAGGCCAGCCAACGCCTGCGCCCGGGCCCTAGATCTCGTGACGGGTCCTGGATAACCAATCGATGCATGCCCTTCATCACTCTCATTAACTATCCTTGCATTGACCCTCACACCCCCATTCCTCTGTGTCCGTGCACCGTGAGGGCGCTTAGCCTCACCTGGCACACAAGTGCCATCTAGTTGTCCCCTCTTCTGCTCCTCGTTTGCCCCCATCCAATCCGGCTCGGGCTGTAACCCAGCAGTCACGTCCCCACCCTCCATTTCGCCGATGCGAAATGTATGTATGTATGTATAGGTATACTAAAAACCAAAATTATGAAACTGACAGTGTGGAGTGCATGGGCTGAACTCTTTCAGCACTCATAGCAAGATGGTAAAATCTTTCTCCGAGGCTGGGTTCACCATTGCATTAAGCCACTGTGTGATTTATCTGGTTTTAGCCAAGCATGATCATGAAATTCCCCATTGTGGTTTGGCACCATTTATGGCTTGGTGGGTGGATCAACAACTTCTTCAGATAGCGGGCACCATTACATGGTATCATAGGTGTCCAGAATAAAGACATAAATTGTTTCAAAGCCCATTAGATTTTGGCAATCTCATCCCTAAAATCATGTGTGAGATGCATATCTGTATGAATATCATTTGGAAGTGCTTCAAAGTTATTTCTAATTTTCAGCTCCAAGCTTCATTCTGTTCTCTTCTACTATGACTTTCTCTGGCTCCTTTTCCTCTGGAATATTATCAGAATATGATATTAATTCAACATGTATATAATACGTACCAGAGATTGCTAATACTAAAGGACATGAGCTTCCCATTGAAGCATCCTTTATGACTATTTTCCCTAATCTGATGTCCTCCAGATTATGACTATCCCTTGTGGAAATGATTGCAATTTTGGTTCCAGATTGCAGTAGGCTGTTTTGTGAGAGTCCCAACTATAAACCCATATAATGGACTGGATTAAAGTCATAATATTTTACATAGATGTCAAGATCTTGATTTTTTTTTCCCCACAGGTGGCAGAATGGGGAATTCAGAAACTTGGACTGTCACAAAATGCAGATCAGTTGGCAGGAACATACAGTGGCGGCACCAAACGGAAACTTTCCACTGCTATTGCATTGATAGGCTGCCCTCCCTTAGTCCTGCTAGTAAGTAGTTTTGCAATAAGGTAACCAATGGTGGGATTCAAATATGTGAACAACTGGTTCTCTGTGTGGATGCCGCTTCCGGAAGTCCATTCTGGGCCTGGGCAACAAAAAATTAGCTACCGGTTCTGCAGAAGTGGTGCAAACTGGCTGAATCCCACCACTGAAGGCAACTATTAATTTCTAAAACAGCTCTGAAAAACTGAGGAAGAAATCTACTTCAATAGCCTTTGCAATCCAAAACTTTATCCCACCACATGTCAGATAAGGAGAATCGGGACCACACGTTAAGTTCTAGGTATGATGATTTATTGCTCATGCCTATCAGCACTAAATTGGCATTATCTAAGGTTCAACAGAATTAAAGAGTGGTTGGACTGAGCTCTCCTGTAGGAATGTATCAACTCTAGACTGATTCTGCTCTTGACTCCACCCTTAGGCTTTGTCTATCCTTCCTCTACACCAGGGGTAGGCAACCTTGGCTCTTTTATGACTCGTGGACTTCAACTCCCAGAATTCCTGAGCCAGCCAAGCTGGCTCAGGAATTCTGGGAGTTGAAGTCCACGAGTCATAAAAGAGCCAAGGTTGCCTACCCCTGCTCTACACCATAGTTACTTTTGGTTTGAAATAGCTCTTTGCAAATTCTGTTAATAGTCTTTTTGTGTTGTCTTTCTTCTACTCAATTAACATTGATAAGCTAGGCCTTCTTACACAATTCTGATATCTGAGGTACACGTTTTCTTCTGAAGCATGAGACACATAGCATCCAGACCTTGAAAAAGTTACTTTTTGGCACATGCAAGAGTAAGCATGTTAAACCCCCAAAAGAGGAAATACGTTCAGTCTTGAGTTATCTGTAAACATAATAAAGGTGGGATGCAAACAAATAACTGGAACTCCGAAAATATTACTTCTTTTACAAGTGAGGGAACTGCTTCACCATTTGTTCTTGAGAAAATATACTACTTGTTACATTCCTGTTCTCATAGGACGAACCAACTACAGGAATGGACCCCCAGTCCCGACGCTTGTTATGGAACTCAATTTTCAGTGTGATCAGAGATGGAAGAGCTGTGGTTCTTACCTCCCACAGGTAATGTAAATCATGCTCCCATCAAATTAAATCGAATCATACCTCCTGGTTATCACTCACAGTTCATTCAGATTCATTTGCTCCATTTCAGATTTCAGCTGGGAAGGGAGGATCCCCAAGCCTTTGCTTCTGCCCTTCCTTCAAGCAGTTACTGTCTCTTGGCATTTTATCCTCACTCCAAGCCTGCTGAGATAAATTAACCTGGGAGATAATGACTGGCTCAAGTCATTGAATTAGCTTGATAGAGGAATGGGGAATTGAACTCCAATTTGTCTGGGTCCAGTCCAGTGTGCATTACAATTATACTTTACAGTCTCCTTATTTTACTTTTTGAAAATTACAATTTTATGTCCTGCATTATAAATCTTTAGATTTTAGGTTTTTCTAAGATGGCTTCAGACAGGTATATAAATTATATAATAACAGCATCTTATTTAAGTTTGTTTAAGTTTGGAACGTACCTGCTCCCTACTTCATCTTTAATCCACTGTAGGAGGCAGCAGAGAAGGGATTGTCTTCATATCACGTGAGAGTATCAGAAAATTGGTCTAGCACAGTGATGGCGAACCTTTTAGAGACCAAGTGCCCAAACTGCAACCCAAAACCCACTTATGCATCATAGAATGCCAGGTGGGTGTGGCCCATTGGCTGGGCGTGGCTGCGGTGGTAACGGCAGACTGGGTGGGACTAAAAAGTTCAATCAATCAATTCCAACTTTGCAAGATCTTTTTTTTTCCCTGCAAGAAATTGAAATTGACTGATTGATTGAACCCCTTTTTTTTTTTTTTGCCTAAAGCGAAAGGAGGCCTAAAGCGAAAAGGTTTTATAAAACCCAGCTGAAGGCCTAGGACTGGGGCAACGGCGCGCGTGCCCACAGAGAGGGCTCTGAGTGCCGCCTCTGGCACCCATACCATAGGTTCGCCACCACTGGTCTAGTAGCAGCCCCCAAAGCTTTGGGAAATGGCTGCCTAATACTTGGAGAATACAGGTGTTTTGGTCTTCGCAAATGCCTTGACTGTCCTCTAGAAATCTTGCAGGTGACTTGCACCTGCTTTTTATTTGCCATGTTTTTTTTTAAAAAAAAAAAACAGCTTTGCAGAACAAGCAAGAAAGAATGGTCATGGTTAAACATGAGAATGCTCCAAATGAAAGACAACAGCATATACATTCCATGAGATAGTGGGAATGTACAGCAAAAGCTTGTTGAAAAGCTTTGTAAATGCTAAAATGTAAATATTGTAGACTGATGACTGACAGCATTCCAACCCTTTTATCAATTATTTTTGAGAAAATAGAATAGGCAGAAAAAACAATGAGAAAATGGAAACATCCCCTACAATGAAATTCCAAGAGAATTGTAGTTTAACGTAGCCCAGCTCACCAAGTTTCTTCTTTTATAGCAAGACTTAGCTCTGAGAGCACAGTTAAGATAATGCAAGCTGTTCCTGGGGGTTTGCAACTTGCTCTCCATTTTTATCAGTTAGCCTTGAAAGTCTGAGGTGGGAATGGAGCTGATTATTGTTAGGAAAGGATTTAGTCTCCCCACTTCCTGTCTTCTTACGTTTTTTTTTTCATTAATGTAAATAAAACTACACCAGGTCACCAAAAGAGATCCATTTGTTGAAAACAGATTCTTGTTTTGTATATTAACTGTAAAGTGCAATGTGTTTCTCATTTTATAAGCATGGAAGAATGTGAGGCGCTCTGTACACGCATAGCTATCATGGCTAAAGGCACCTTCAAATGTCTGGGCACCATCCAGGATCTCAAATACAAGTAAGCTGAAGATCGGTATCTCATGTTCATGGTTAAGGATTTATGAAAGTATGTAATTTAATAATTATGTGCTCTCTTTATGAATTTTTTTATAGAATAAATGTGAATATTACTGCACAAACATATAACTTAATAAATCATGGCTATCTTACAGATATGGAGATGGCTACATCGTTACCATGAAAATCAAGGCACCTAAACTTGGATTACTCCCAGATCTCAGCCAAGCAGAACAATTCATGTGCCAGAACTTTCCAAGAGGGATACAGAGAGAAAAGCACTATAACATGCTGCAGTACCAAATATGTACCTACTCACTGGCCAAGATCTTTAGATTGATTCTCTCCAACAAAGAGAACCTAAATATTGAAGAATACTCTATCTCACAAACTACCCTAGATCAGGTAAATTAAAATATTAAAATATTCTGAAAATGGGAATCTTCCACTCAGTGAACGTGAACAGCCCAACTACAGAAACCATTTCAGTACTGTATATTAGAAACTGAGGTAATTCAGTTTCCCACTTTGGGGCAGAAGTTCATTTATTTGCAAGTGCAGTTGAGTCACGTCCAGTGGGTCTACTTTTTATAGACATTTCAGCAGCACTTATCTTTCTAACATTTTTTGTAGTTGCAAAGGAATTTCACATATTCACGGTTTGGTTTGGTTTGGTTTGGTATTTCTCTGTCTCCGTAGAATAGTGATCCATTTGCTGCTTATACTACCTTTATTTGGATTTAATGCGGACTTATAAAGGGAAGGGATACGCTCCCCTAAGGAGGTACATCTGGTGATAGCCATAAGAAGAGCCTTCTCCATGGTGGCTCCCTCCCTCTGGAACATCATCCCTCCAGAAATTAGACTGGCCCTCACTCTGACACTCTTTTGGAAGGCCCTGAAGACGTGGTTTTGCCAGTGGGCCTGGGGAACCCAGAGTGGGATGAAGCCAGTGGTGGGATTCAGCTGGTTCACACCAGTTTGGCAGAACCGACAGCTAATTTTTTGTTGCCTAGGCCCAGAATGGACTTCCGGTTGTTCACATATTTGAATCCCACCACTGGATGGAGCCCATTAAATGCTGAGATGATGTGTGTGGTCGCTGAGGGGACAGTGGGGGGTTATTTTATTATTATTTTTTTATTTTGTTATTATTTTTATTTCTTCTACGTTTTCAGTAAGACGCCTAGAGTCGCCACAAGCAAGTAGGCTGCTTTATAAATTTTCTTGAACAAATAAATAAATACATTTGTTTGCAGAAAAAGGTTTTGTTACGTATGCCAGCTTTCAAAATCACCCTAACTTAGCATACTACTACTTTGGTCAGATCAGCCAGTGAATGAAATTGTTAAGACAGTTTTTTTCACCCAAATCTTCTTAACTTTCTGGAGAGCTTCTGGATTTATCTCCTCCCCTAAAGGTCTGTAGAGGAGCAGATGACGTGACATCACAACACAAACCCCATGACTAATGTAATTGCATCAGATAATCAGGATGCAAATATAAAAGGCCAGGGTTTGTTGTGGTATCATGACGCATTTTGTCATTTTATTTTATTTTTTGTCATCCCAATTGGTATCAGAACTTAGCTTCCTAGGATAGTTCTTGCTGTACATTTCTCTGCTTTTCTCCCACAGGTTTTTGTAAATTTTGCTAAACAGCAGATGGAGGATGAGGAGATTCCTCTACACCCTCGTGCAGCTGGAGCTAATAGAGAGATGAAAGTGACTCCTGTTGTCTATCGGCATATAAGCAAATAAAAGCTACGCCAACTACGCCAAAATTTCCAGTTGCTGAGGACCAGACCTAGACAGCAATCTTCCAAACTTTAAAGGAAGTGGAATAACATTACAGATTCTTAGTAAGAACCAGAATGGAGGCAGTGTATTCTAATCTGACAGATGTATTGCTTATGGGTGAGAATAGCCCATACCGCCTGCTACGTACTGGCCAAATGTTATGGACAAATGGGAAACTTTTAATTTTCCACTATCTTGGTTTATGGCATTCTGACAATTTCTATTTATCACAAATATTGTGCAAGACCCACTTTGAACAGTTCAAATCTTTCAAACAGCAGCTACTCTCGTGGTGGTATATATTCCAAAGCAACAGTTACAACCACTCAAGAGTCTATTGGAGTGGGCAGCTAGAACAATTTTTTAAAAATAAAATAAAAATAAGAAGAACATATTCACAGCCTTGAAGGGGTTCTTATATAAAAGAGGACAAAGACTTTTGCTACCCTTCAGAAGATCTTCAGAAACAGGACAGCCACTGTTGGGAACGCTGCAGCTCAGGTTTTCTTGACCTAAATTGGACTAACAACGCATCTATAACCTCATATCTATTTAACAAGTTTTACAGATCTTTTGAATATTTAGTAGAAAGATAATTACAGATAGTCCTCAAGTTATAAGCATAAAAGTAGTAAGTAGCTTTGGGCGGGGGGCGGGTGTTCATTGCAACTTTGAACGATCTATAAGTGACCACTCTTAAGTCAAGGGCTATTTATAACTGATTTCCAAGCTATCTTCCCAAGGGTACTGACTGCTGTACAAGGACTTTCTATGTGTGAGGGTGGGGTATTTTTTTAAAAAAATCCTTATCATTGACATGATTGAGCATATTGCTTTTTTGGTTGATAAATAA